CCCCACCCCCCCCCCCCCCCCTGCCGGCGGAGTATTCTGAAATTTTTTTTTCACTCCTCGCATCGAGTCCATTCACGCATTCTGCGCATGCGCGACACGTGCATCTCTACAGAGACCCCAGAGTTCCTCGATGTGTCCGCGACGTCTATAGTAATTTGCGTCTATTTTTTTTTTTTTTTTATCCACGCCAAGGACCTTGCCACCCGGCAACGTGCACGAGAAGCGAATAACATTATATGGAGGTCGAAGCCCGATACACGATATACAATATGTATCTGCGCACGGTTGGCCAACCTGGCAAGGTAGCCCATTCGCACACGTGTCTTCGTAGAGGCGAGAGCAACGTAAGCGCACTGTAACCTACGTATGTGGACATACGTGCATATATTAGACACCGCTCGGTTGCGACACTTGTTTTGTGACCTGAATCCCCTGACTCGCTCTCTGCCCACTACGTCTTCTCGTATCCCGACTCGGCGCCTAACGACGTCAGTCCGTCCAGTTTGGCATATATCGTGTCACGTGGGCTGCCGATGAGTTACGACGATCAATTGTTTCCTTGTACCGTCACTTTCCTTCCGTTTTATATTCCACGTCGATCGTCTATTAGTTTCAATCGTTTTGTGCACTTTCGATCGGAAGTCTCGTTTTTGCTTTAAATTTTCAGGGATGCCAAACAGGGTTGTGCAGTTTTCGCTGGGACTATGACTTATCGCGTGTCGTCCCAAGCACGTGTCAAATGACTGTACGTACAGACGAGAGTGGATGCAGGTTTTTGGGTGACGCCGGCATACGAGATTGCTGACCTCGTAGTTGGACGAAAAGTTTTTCTTTTTTTTTACTTTGACCAGAACCCTTGTCGAAAGTTCATCGGGAACTATGGAAATTTGAAAATTTGTCGACTGCGTCCGTTCGTGCAACCGTGTTGACTCTTTCTGGCAGGTAGCGTGTACCACGGATATGCATAGGGTTCGCGCGGTGACGGAGATGGAGATACCGTCTCTTTCGTTCTCTTTATCTCCACTGCCTTTCTCTCGTTCTTTCTTCGAGCCTTGGAACAACCAGACTATGATGCTGCGAGAGGCTGGCAAGTACTGAGACTGTATTGATTTCTACTCGGCCTGTCTGGCTGCAGTCTAGTCCATATCCGGTGCTCTTCATACTCTCGTACTATATATATATATATTTCCTGCCTACATTCCTACCCATCTACCTACATTCAGCCACCTATCACGTATCAAACTTCAGGTCTGGTCACCGCCTTGACACGCTGCGACCCAGTCCACGTGACGACTCAGCTTTATTATACAGGATGATTCGGGGATGCTGGTAATGATCGATGCATTTTTTTTCATACGAGACTAGGGCTCCTGCGCTTTATCGGTACCCTGTGAGCGTTTAAAGAAAATATTTCGTATCCTTACGTCATTCGGGTAATTGCCGCGAAGGCGCACATCGGCCGGGAAACTTAAACTAGTCGAAATATCATAGTGCGATGTACCATAAATACGTACCTGAGCTGGACCGTGTTGCGCTCCGTTGCTCGTTTTGAACTTTGTACGCCAACCCGTTTGCGCGTATAAGCGTCTATGACGGTGACTCTTGTTTATGGAGTATTACGTCACGATCTCATCCGCGTAACGTACGGCAACTGTCAGTCGTTAACCGAGCAATTGAGAGTTCATTAATGGATCGGTCCATAGCAGCATCTCAGTGCCATCTGCTTCCTCGTACTTTCCAAGAGTCTCACTCTTATATTTATTTACGTGGGATAAATCTCTTTTTCGTTTTAACGTAATCTCAAAAAAATGCTTTCGTCGTACCATTTTCGTGATGGTAAATTGAAGGATTTTTTTTTTAATCTTTAAGGAATTTATAAAATTTTTCTATTTTGCCCTTTGATACCCTCGTAATTACTATTTCTTGATGTTGTCTTTGTGATTTCTTTTAATGTCACGCGTAGGGATCAATCTGCCGTTCGACTTGTTTATCGTCCATGTCGACCACTATGGTGCGTTCGCGTAAACTTCTTCTAGAATTCTTCGAGTTCGCAGATAAAAGCTATCCCGGTTATGCTCGCTATGCCGGCGATGCGAGGGTATCTTGAATAATGCAGCGCTGCCTGTCTATTTATGTCTTGAAATCAATACGTACCTACATCGGGAGAGTGGAACTTTGATGAACCAGTACCTGGAATACGCTTGAGTGAAGTATGGATGGCAGCGGCTATGCGATTGTTACGTGCTGGCATTGTTATTATTATTGCACGCTACGCATAAAAGACGATACACTCGTCCTTCTAATAATTCATACAATAAATATACTACCGTCCAACCCTTTGATACTGGGTCACTGGTTGTCTCATTGGTTTCCTCATTGGAGGATATTGCGATATAGATATTACTCAGGTCCGTGAGCATTGGAATAAAGTCAAATAGAAGAGATCGAGCTGGTGGTTTTTTGAAAATCGAAAGGTTGGAATTGACATTTTTTAAATCTTTTTATCGCGTGGTATATATCGAACTCTTGGATCTGAAGTAACTTTGTTTCCTTACCTTGGCACTTCCGGTTCCCCATTCCCTGCAATTGTACACAGTTGCATTGAAAATCCTTGAGCAACGCGTTTACCTGATTCGTGACTTTTGCACTTTATTGCAGATAATTTTTTTTTCTACGGATTCGACTTTTTGGGTCTTTCTGGGTCTGTCGATCATTTTAGATACTGTTCTGTGATTTTTTTTTACTTTTTTTTTTTTTTTGAACTACGTATCAATTACGTAAGTCGAAATTTGTAATTATGTCAGAAAGTTGCTTAGACTGTTATTTTGTAGTCGCTGATCTGACAAGGTTTTACTTTACGCCCGAGCAAGATCGCGTGACCGGTCACTCGAGGCGCGGGCTGAGGTTTAGAGCGAAAAATCATTGTTCGACCAAATTATGTCACGTCCGTACCGACGGGGAGATCAGGAATAGCTGCGCAGCGAACGAGGTTGTACGAGCGCAAAGCTGTGCCCATGAAACTGACGGCATAGTTGCAACTTTTTTTTATATTTTTTTTTTATCGCCGATATGGAAACTGGTCTGTTGCGACGAAAAGTGTGAGTGAACAAGATGACCCGAGTATGGAAGGCTGCACTATCGATCCCAGCCGTGTGGGCGGTACCTACTCTCATACCGACTCTACAATCCCTTACGCAGAAGTTCCCTCTATGTCTATACGTATTATAAATACCGAGATACTTTCAGTGTGGATGCACCTTTTCCCTCGGGCTACCTATGCTCCTCGCTTCTTTAATTTTTCAATGCCTCCACTCTTCGTTCGTTCTCGTCAGCACGTTATTTCGCTCAGCTAATTTCGAGCTGGACACCACCGTTCACTGCCTATATCCATTACCTACCCTTATATGCACGATCGATCGACTTGGGGTCCTAAATGCAAGCTGACCGCGTATCAAATTTTTACTACCTATCGTATTGCCGTGATTATTTTTATTCTTTGTTATTCTCATTACCGACACTTTATATGTCAATCGTTCGAAGCTCGTGTTACGGCGGCGAGAGACGCTTGTTTAGCGGATTTTGAAAGAAGAAAATTTTTCAATAGGGTTTGAGGTGATATTTAACAGCGTAAAATTCGTACGACCCAATGACGATCCAAGATTGTCCAATGACAATGATCGTAATCC